CCTCTTGGAGATGTGAATCCCCTTTCCTGAGAAATTCAAAGCAGGGTCCTCGCTGGCCTCCCGTGGAAGCAGGCAGGGAGAGACCATGCTGTCCACGGCAAACAGGCTGTGGAGAGAGGGTGTGTCCTGCCGCAACGACAAGGTAAGAGGACAGCAGCAGAGACTGTGTTTCCAGATGCAAAGCCTCTTTCGTTAGGCTGAGTCCCCAGCTCTTCCTTCAGAAGCGCCTAAAATGCTGCTTCGTCTGGCAGCTTCACAGATGCCGCCACTGAAAGCACTTCTGCTGGTGAACACGCAGCTGTGAGTGATGCAGAGCCTGGGGCTGAGGGTGGTGCCACCCAGACCCTGCGCCTGGCCTGCTCTGCTCTCTGCGCAAAAACGCACACACATGAATGGGTAACGACCCAAAACGGTAGCCGAACAGTGGGAATCACCAATTTGGCCCAGAAGGCTTTGGGAGGTGTTGTTTACTTCAGTCTGCCTGCAGCTGGGGCAAAACTGAAGAAACAAGAGTCTAGAGCTCTGGAAAGTGTGAAGCTGCTAGAGAACTTATTCTCCTCCATCAGAAGGGACTGAAATTAATGAAGCTCTTGCAGAAAATCCAGGACTTGTCAACAAATCTTATTATGGAAATGGTTGGCTGATCAAGACGACACGGAATAATCCTTCGGAACTACATGAACTAACGAGTGAAGATGCACGTGAAAACACATAAAACTACTGGGGACTGTAAATGGAACCCCTCAGTTAACCAGCGTGAAACAGTTCAATCTAGCATGGTCATCTTAAATTAGTGGTGGATAGAAAATTTTAATCAGCAACTTCTAGCAGTGCCAATGGAAAAAGAACCTACCTGCAACAATGCTGCTGAAGAAAATGCCCCTAAACTTGTCATGCTGGCAGATGAACCCAGTACGCACCTTTCCCACAATACCTTGTGGGTTTCAGGCTAGACTACAGTTAAGTAGTCAGAGTTGCTAAAATCATCTGTTGTGAAAACTAGGTATAAAAATTCTTAAGGATAACATTGTCATCTTATTAAGCCTGATACAACTTGCTTATATCCATCCCTGGATTGGGGTCAAAATACTCACTGATCTTTCCATTGGGAATACCTGGCAGTTTTTGTTATATATTATATATATGGAATATGTATATATGGAATACCTGGAGAAAAGTTTTTGTTATATATTATCAGATGAAGAACAATACTATCTGAATTTTGCAATATACTGTATTTGCTGGTGGTATTTTTATATAGTGAAGCAACAGCCTTGCAGGAAAATAAAAAGTTTAATAAAACTTCAGCATCTTCAAAATTATTTCTAAGACTCTGAGAATGCCACAGAGATAGACAAACTGTTCTAGTCTTACCCTTTGTCCACACTGGCATAGACTGCTGCTACAACACCTTCAAGGACCTGGAGTGGGTCCCCTGGTCCACCGAGGTCAGCACTGCCTCCCCTGTGAACGGAGAGAGAAGTGACTGAGAACAAGATGGCTCAGAAATAAAACCGGCATTTACACCCTGATGCACCCCTCTAGCCTTTGGCCAGGACACTGCCAGCTCTTAGCCATTGGTGATACATGCGGTCTGCAGAGGTACCACATCCAATCTTATATGCTAAGGATATGGAAATAAAATGCTAACTGTCCTTAAGGAGCTTGCGGTCTACTATGTGACTGTTTCCCTATCAGCAAAATCTACTTGCATTCTGTCATTCAAAAATCATTCAAAGGACATTAAACACATGAGCTGATTTTAGCATTAAATTTATAATAATCATCTAAATTATCCACAGGATTAAAAAGAACCCTAATACTTACATGATACTTACTAGGTACTAGGTACTGCTAAGTGCTTTACATACATTCTGCCATTTAACAACTCCAACAGCCCACTGGACTGTTATACAGGTAACTATCATTATGCCCATGTTACAAATGTGGATGTGTGGAACTCCAGTGAGTTCTGAAAATGCACCAGAGGAAAAAGAAGTTGTCTATGAGTTTTCTGAATAATTTATCTGATTTAAATCATCTGCTGGATTCAGTTATTTTCATGCCTTTGTTATTTTATGTCTACTAAATTTTACTAACTTTCTAAAAGGTAAATGTTACAGATGTTGTCAATAGCAATTTATTTTCCTTTGGAAAAGAGGTAGCTAAACTCCTGAAGTTCTCTTTCTTTCCATTGCCAAAAGATCTAATTCACATTTACCGAACACCTTTTGAGTGATAAGTATAACACTTATTCAGAACCTTATTCAGAACCAAATCTCTAGTAGTAGAACAGGGTGCAAGGAAGGAGAAAGAAGTACAATTTGTGTCAGTTTTATAAATGTAAAAAAATCACATATTAATAAAATGTGCAATTTTTCAGAAATAAGTGAAATTCACCAAAGCACAAATATTTTTCAAAATATTTGCTTTTGTGAGCTCTACATAAATCTTGATTTAAGAAAACAATATAAAGATAACTGTGAATCAAAAGGTACGAGATGTGGCAAGCAAGTATTCATCATCATTTGAAAGAGCAAAGTGGCTCTTACAACCACCCCCAACAGCAAAGCAGAGTAAGCTAGTAATTGAACAAAGCTTTATTAATATGACATGTTATTTCTACAAACTTAAATTTTATTTCTCTCTCTGTAAAATTACTAGTTACTTCAGAGCATGAAGGTGAAAACTGTAGGAGGGGTAATTAAACCGATAAAGGCTCATTTGATTTCAGTTCAGCTGCTGAAAACTGACATGCATTTCATCAGAAAGTTCCTCAAGAGCAATACAGAATTACAAAGAATGCTTAAAAGGAGAATAAATTGAACACAACTAAATCTTTTAGCCTAATTGCATTATTCACAGAAAGCACTCGATGCCATATTCTCTTCTTAGCTTGACTTTCCCCTTTTTCCTCATCTTCCCAGACGCATTCGTACAGAGACACCAGCATATCACCACAAAGCTAGGATTCCTCAATTAATTGCAGGTAAGTAATGTCCTAAGACACTTAACAGATGTGTAACTTCTTCACTGTATGACCCACCTTGTGTACTCCGAACTAAACTCGTGGGAACCATTTTCCCACTGACACAAAGAAGGCGAATTAGAAAAAGTGAGCTCTGAAAACTCACACCGAAGCCACACGTCTAACACTCAGCGACCCACTTCACTTGCCACTTTGGCCTTTCCCTTATTTCAGAGATAATTTGATGGGAGAGACATTCTAACCAGAAGGTACTTGTTTCTTGATATTTTACACACAACACCAATAATGAAACATTTTCATGGTTCTTCATTCTCAAGATATCTTATGACTTTGAGAAATCTTATAATCCTCCAACTTTCATGAAGTACTTCATAGTTTATAAAATGCTTCTACATACATGATATTTTACTTTCATAACAACTGTGAAATAAGCAGTATTATTGGCAAAATAACCCTTCAAGTTTTCCTGGATGACTATTTTCTAGCTTACCTCAGGGCAGAAACTATTTTCATTACTGCGCTCTGCACGACATCCTTGGGTGAGATGCCAACTGGGCCCACAGCCACCTGTAGCAGCTGCTCAATCATTCTTAAAGGCTGACCATCTAAGCACATGGACACAGCTTGATCGTGAAGTTTCCCTTTTTCTGATCGGGACAGATCATAGAGGTGACTGTATTTCTGCAGCATTTCCTGCAAAGACGTGGTATTCAATACCTCAGTATCACATAGAAATTAAATGGGTCTGTGTGTACATATGTCGAAGATTCACAAACCAAATACACTATGACCAATACCACCACCACATGAAGAATATGTCGTGGTTAGTAAGAGCCTGGGCTTGAGCACAAATCCTTAGTTTAACATTTATTAGATTAGTTAGTGGGATGTAGTGATCTAAAATTTCATTATCTGTAAAATTGTATGTTAAAAATGAGACAACAGGTTCTTGCAAACAGTAACTGAGATTATAAGTTTGGTAAGTGTTCAAGTTGGGAGTTTGGCACAAGATTTTGTTTTACTTTTCTCTCCATTGTGAAACTTCTATTTTTAAAAATGCCTCAGAATTAGGCAGGTCTATTACTAGTATCCCTAGTGAGACAAGGGGGAAATGAAGCTCCACAGTATGCACTAACCGTAGTATATGTATTTCACCAGGCATGTAATTAAAGAAGTTAAAATCAAGGCCTGAACTTAAAAGGGAGAAATGTCTGAGGCTGAAGGTTATTTCCAGCACTTGCTACAAAAGGTGCCTTAATAAATAATGTTTAATTTAGGAACCAGAACGGTATCCTACAAGGGACATTCTCTGTTCTGACAGAATGACATTCGCAAATAGCCATTTGGCACCTTTAAATCATGCCCTCATTAAAACAAATGGCTGTTTTTGTTACAAACCGTCTGGCCGTGCACACTATTCTGGTCATTGAAAGACAACGCTGACTCCGGACAGAAAAGACAACGCTCTGGATCTGAATATAGTATGTCCAATTAAAAAAATAAGTCAGACAAGTATTTAAAAACTTCTTATACTGATAAGTATAAATCATTTTTACTTAAAGATTCAAAGTTTACCCTAGTTCCTGTAATTACGGATTATAGCATTGTAAATGTCAGCAGGACAAAAATCAGGATTAGTAAAGCCAATTTGCTCCCTGCAAAGGCTTCTATAATTGCTCATACTATTATTTAGTGTTATTCATTAGACCAGCTAATAGGCACTGAAAAATACAAAATGAAATAAAACTGCTATCCAACTTTGAATTCTTCCCATTTTTTTTTTCCATGAGGGGTTTGCATTTATGTGTCTCATAGAAGTGTGGAAGTCTTCCATTTGTTAATTACCTGAACTCCTCTACACTGACTGGTCTTTTTTAGTCATGATTTTGTTTTTTACAAGCCAAGAATAAAGTTCCATAAATATGTAAGGTCTAAGAAAAATAGAAGACGAGGTCAGTGACTACTCATGGATTCATTTACCATAGCATTCAAGGGGCAAATGGGTTTTTATTTATGTATCTAGACACGGCTTTCATCTATGTGAAACCTATTTACTTATGGGTTTGCCAACTCTTCAGTAATGATAAAGAACATCTAAGAATCCCACAGCTGTGTTCTGTGTGCCAGACAGAACAAAAGCTCTGGCGGCCGCAGAGGGCTCCCCCAGGCGGCGCTCCCACTCCCGGCCCGACCTCATGGTGCGCAGGGGCGCTGACCCTCACGAGTGCTTTCTGAGACACCCTGAGGGTCCCCAGTAGAAACCAGCTTGGAACAATTTTACTCATCAAAAAATTCATATCAGTAATAGCTATTTTGGAAATAAGCAACATTAAAACAGGATGAGTATGTTACGTAATTTTTAAAAACTGTTGAAGCAGGCATGGGTGGCTATTTCTGAATTTTTCTGAAAAGAAGGGGGAAAAAATCTATCATTATTCAGTTGCAGAACAAAGTACACAGCAGCTTGAAGCAGAGCCAGCAAACCACCACCCGATTTCTCAGCTCTAGTGACCAACCCTCGTCCCCGGCGCCCGTCCCGGCTCCCCTAGGCCCCTCTTCCCCACCCCTCCCACCTCTCACCTCCTTCAGCAGGGTATCAATGGCAGTTCGGGGCCTAACATCCATTCTAAAGAAGTGAACACAAACTGACAATCAAGAAATAATGAAGAGATTGAAAGGATAAAGCCTTGAGGCCCATTTTCAAGAATATCTGCAAGACTGAAAACCCTATCAAACCACTAGCTTATACAGCTTTAAAGGATAAATGAAAGAATATTCTGATATTGTCTGAGTGGGCAAGCATAGAGACAAAGTTTCATTCCACTACCTGCTCACTATTCTTCAGAGAAATGATGAAGGTGTGGTTGAGGGTTTCCAGGTGAGCAAGTGATTTCTCCAGATGATTCAAGGCATCTGCATAGGTAATTTCAGAATCACTGGCTTCCTGAAGGTCTTCTTTGGAATTTCTTTTCCTTGGCTTCTCAATAAAATCTCTGACTGTCCTAATAGCCTTTGTAGTCATCTCTTTACGTGTTTCCACAGGTAGCTTTAGGAAAAAAAAAAAAAAGAAGATATTGAATAACAGTGAGACAAACCAGTCATACATTATTATAGGTGGCATCTTTAATAAGGTATTATTAGTAAGGCAGAGAAAAAAAATCAAAATTTTAATAAATACAACTTTAAGAAATAGGACATTTATGATACCAGTTTTTTCTGTGAAGAAAAGAAAAACAGCGTGGTGCCATCTGCACTATCAAAGTAGTAAATATAGATTTTTTTTTGAGATGCTAATATCAAAAGCAGGTGTTTTTATATTCAAAAAGATTACTGGTTTTAGTGCAAAAATGAGTCATTTCTACAATTATAATTTGCCATTCTGATCATTTATTATAAAGAAGTTAATTCAAAAGAAGAAAATAGTATAAGCATCAACATTTTAACTGGCACAAGACTATGAAAATAAAACCTCAAAAGCCATCAATAATTACCTGATAAGAGAGATGGTAACTAGCTTATGATAAATCACTAAACAGATGATGTAGTTACTAAACTTGGAATTATAAAAACAGTGTAGCAATTTGGAAAGTACTTACAAAATGTTAAATTTCAGGCATCTGCAATCATACAACTGTCTATATATATATCATGCTTCCATTAAAATCTTAACTACACCTGCAAATATAGATGAAGATAAAATATATATATACACAAATATTAGTGACTATTATGTTAAGGTGTTTGGATTATGAGTAATTTTGTCCTCAACTTTCTAACTTTTAGGCAATAAAGTAGTCACTCATTCATTCCATACATTCAATCCTGGTGTGGGACAGCAATTGTGTTAGTATGTGGGGGTGATATCTTTCTAAAATATTATGCTCACTTGGCTCAAGAATACAGAATTGAGCGTAAATTTAACTCATTTTGATGGATGCACGACACACCTCTAGCCATACTGGGGCCTTTTTAGGCTATGCTGACATGAATTGCTTTGGATCCTGGATTTTAGTCTCCTGTCAACTACTCAAACACATTTTTACTATATACTTACATGGACTGAGTCAATTTTAAAAATAAAAAATAAAAACAAAGAATCCTAGAACAAAATTTTATCTTTCCTGGTATTTCTCAAAATTGGTCACCATATGTCAAGTTATGCTGAAAAACAGGCATCGGAGTCAATCCACGGCACCAGTGACCATACTGAGAGGCTGGCCTCCCAATCCTTTCCTACCTGTTCCCTCCAAGTCACTCTACAGAGAATTAAGAATGCTGACACCTCCTTAATCCCACACAAATGTTGGTAAAAGGTAACTTTAGAAAGTACTATTTCCATTGAATTGTAACTACGTGTGCTATGCAAATACAGCTTCAAAACAAGGTCTGCACCCCCCACTTCTTGCCAGATTGCTTACTCCAAGCACCCACAGTGTAAATAAAATCAGAAATCACCACTGATTGGCAAGTGTTACATTACTGTATCTTCTTCCCCAAATAAATTGTGTGACTGAGAAATACAGCATAGTAGAACTTGATTTCGTTCAGCAGACCTCCCTACATTCCCCGTTAGGAGGACGGAAGAACTGAGCCCCAGGGAGGTGGCGTGGTATGCTCGGGTTCATCAAGAGAGTGACGAGAGAAGCCCACATTCAGACCCCTGGGCTCCCAGCCAGCAGCCCCCTTCCAGCGAGCACCACACAGCTTTCACTTGGTCATTTCTGCCTCCCCACAGGCTCTGACAGTGAATGATAAGAGTACATGTGGACTGAACGCTGAACAAACGTACCATCTGGCCAAATGTTTACTCTCTCCCAGCCTACCGTGGGGTGCGGATGAGCTTCAACAACAGACTGGCCAGAGAGCAGGGCAGGGCCGGCATGTGCAGGAAGCAGGACCCCGGGAGAAACAGCAGGTCTGTATGCCCTTGGAGAGGCCCAGAAGTAATCCGTGGTCCAAGGTTTAACCTGCCATTAGGAACCACCCCTGGAACGATTGACAAGCTAGAAGAACACTAAACTCAGAAAACCTGTGTTTAGTTTTTTACCACCTTGGTGACAGGCCAACTTGATAACCAGCTGTAAGCTTTAGTTCCTTCATCTGTAAAATGTGGAAAATGTCATCTACTATACAATGTTAATGTAAGAAATTAGGTAATTTGTAAAACAATCAGCCAAATGCCTTCCCACAGTAAGTGCTCAATAAATGGAAGCTGAACTTTTAATTTGACCAGCTGATAGAATACACAGGCCATCTTCCATCTGTTAGTGTTTTATCTCCCTAGTGAATCCGTCACGTAATCCCTTCCAGAAAAGCCTTTTTGTAGGCTCCGCGAATTCCTCAGCGTAGTACTCATAGACTTGCACAAACTGGACATGGGCTCACCCTCCAGCCTTACGGCGTGACTGTAACCCGCACCCCGGGTTCCAGACATACCGCCTTTCATCATTCCTCCGTGTCACTCTGTACCTTGCTGTCTCAGTGAAATGCTCTTTCTCTCTTCTTTGTGAGGCAAATTCCCAGTTATGTTTCAATACCAAGATAAGAAGACATCCTGGAATCCTTTGTTTCTTCAGCCTCTACGGCCAGTCCACCACCAAGTCAGTCTTCTGCTCCAACAGCCGAGTGCATAATTCACCACCTAACATAAGTGTAGACTGTCGTCTTTTCAGCATTACTGAGTTTAGGCCTCACCCTGAACTCTAGGCTTTCATAGACCTTGCTATTCGCCAAAAGAAGTGAGTGAATTTTTCTGGAGGTTAAAGTACTTTTTTCCCCTTATGTTTAATGATTCAAAATAACTAAATAACCTAACACTTACTAAGAAAATAGAGTATAAGCAAATGCAACCCCAAGTTCCCTAATCACAACCCTAAGCTCTTGAGAGCCACGACCTCTATAAGCCAGAATAATACCATAAAAGATGTATGGGCCTTTATTTTAGCATTTTACTAAACTGGATGTTTAAGCTTTTACATCTTTACTTAGTAAAAACAGGTTTATTGCTGAAAGACAATAGGGTGAGATTAAGAAACATGTTTATTACTTATACCTAGTAGAGTTACTATCTTTAAACTCTTCTATGATACAAGGAACAAAAAGAGGAAAAAAAGACAAAATATAGCAGAGTGAAAAACAGCAGCTTCCCCACTATCCTTAGTAGCCACAAAGTATTTTTAATATTAACCTTTTTTGAAGCCCATGGCATTAAAGCATCATTCATATACATCATCACTATAGTAACTAATCCAAGATTATGTAAAACTATTCCTTGACAGCAATTAGTAATTGCTATTTTTTAAAAAATGTGGATTTGTAAAATAAAGCAGCTAAAGTGTTCTCTCACTCCATGAATAGGTGCTGAGCACCTATTTTGCAGGCCCTATGGAAAAATGAGATAAAAACGTGAACCAGACTCAAAGAAATCACTTTTAGTATGGGAGACAGGCTGATAGGAAAGGAAAAAAAAATCAGGAGTCATCCATGACTTCCCCACACCTTACTGGGTCTACCTTCAAAATAGATCCAGGCCTCACCCACTTCCCACCACCGTCACAGTCACCACTTCACTCCAAGCCACCATGACTTCTCACACTTTGCAATGGTTCGTTCTTACTGGTCTCCCAGTGCGGCAGAGAGCGGTGCTCACAAACCACAAGCATGCCGTGGACTCCAGTGCATTTGCCAATCCCCTTGTAGTCAATAATGAAACTGAGCAGACGTGACATGTGTCATTTCTGAGCTAAGGCAATAAATAACCACAGGTATCATTATCCAGTCTCCCTTCTCTCCCAGCCATGGCAGTTGAAGAGGACGCTGGTCCCACCTGGTACCAGTGCAGAACGGTAGAGCTTCCTTCAGCCTGGATCCTTAGTGACTCTGTGGAATGGGGCCCTCTGTAATCTTACGGGATTAGGAGCATGAGGGAATATTAACCTTTGTTGTGTTAAGCCCCACTGTGATTCTGGGGCTAACTGGTTACTCCAGCATTACCCAACAGCAAAGTGATATTTCAAAAACATAAAACTGATCACATCACTTCTCTGTTCAAATCCATTTTATGGCCTCTCAGGGGTAATAAAAGACCAGAGAGAAAATATGCCAGGTATTGCAGGTTACTGTCTCTGCTACTCACTCTTTCATTTGCTTGGTTGGTTTTTATAACCCTTTATAAAGATGTAAAAATCAGTCTTGGCTAAGGGCTTCACAAAACAGGGAGTGGGCTGAATCTGACCTGTTAGCCATAGTTTACTGACCCCCAAACCACAATATTAAAAAGCTGTAGTTGGAAAGACAAACTGAGCATAAATTGTTAAGTGGTCTTGAGTGCCAGTCTAGCTGCAGAATCTGAACTACAGGAACTCAGAAGACCCTGAAGACAACCTGAATACTGAGGACAATTAAATGGAAATGTCATATTCAATCCCCATTTAAAAACACACTCTAGGAGAAATCTTATTTCAAAGAAAAATATGAAACCACAGGTATCTGATAAAAAATGTCCTCCTTTCTCAAGCCTCCTTTGCCCGCACTCCCAGATTCAGAGTCCAGAGTCCCCTCCTCTGGAAGCGCCCCTGACATTATCCCCTCCCTGCGTTACAAACCACACCGGTCTTCTAAGGCACACTGAGCTTCCCCACACCAAACCCGGCCACGCGGTGGGGCTAGTCATCCGGCTGTGCCTGACCAAACAGTGGAATCCGTCAAGGTAGAAACTGTGCTTTTCAAATCTCTATATTCCTAGCACCTAAATCAATGCCTAGCACATTGCAGACAAACAGAGCATAGCTGTTAAATTACTAAACAACTCTGATCAACATACAACAAGGGGGGAAAGAACCTTTAAGAGTACAATGACATGAGACGTTCTCAACATGTCCTTAGAAACTATGGTCCAGAATGCTCCAAAAGGCTCCAATTTATCAGTGACTCAGCAGTACCCTATTTCTGTAACAAGGACCCTAGGAGACTAAAATTGAAAAGGGACATTTTAAACTTGAAATGAAAAAAATTGGGACCAGATATATGCCACCAGGATGATGCCAG